TATTATTACTATTATACAGGATTTATATAGTGCCAACAGTTTGCTCAGCGCTTTACAATATAACGGGAGACAATACAGTTCAATACAAGAGGGTTAGGAGGGCCCTGCTCCTTGGAGCTTACAATCTAAGAATGTGTCCAAAAGTGGTAGAGGAGGAAGGGGAAAAAGTGGAACTTCTAAAGTCCAGTTTTAAGCATCTGCAGTATCAGATTCCACATGTGGCAAGTTATTAGAGTTCAGTTCCAATGTCTCTAATCTGTGTGCATGTGGTAGCGGCATTGTTCACTCCATAGCAGCAAGCATAGATGTGCAACATGTTCTTGAAGAAGACGTTGTCGAATATACAGTATAGGTGCTATATCGATGCATAAAGTGCATTTATTTAATTCATGTCAGTTGCGTTACATTAGTAAACAAACCTGTGTTCCCCTCTACTGTTTTCTTCAATTCTGTATTTTGGATGCTATTACTATTACATTTTGTAGTGTGCACAACATAGCAGTGTTGAAGAACAAGGAGAATGGCCAAAAAGGGGAAAGCAGCACCAGTTCAGGAATTGTCACACTTAGGTGTAAAGACTTGAGGGTCATCCAGCTGGAGATACCTGGCATGGAGGAGACACTGAATGTTGCCCGCTCTGTGCAGGTCAGTAACATTGTGGCATTTAAAATACAGAACAATAAATACATTATACAACAATGTATCATTATATTAATTACATTATATTGTTTTCATATAACAATTCTAGCAGTGGATACGGTGTACTCATTTAATAAACCATTCCGGAAATATAGTAGTGTTATTTAAATTGTTACTAAACCTAGGATCCTGCATTCACTCTATCTGTTCTCCGACAGTGCACACAACATGGAAATGCAATTATTTTAGTAAATATAAACCGCTAAATACCTTTTCTCATCAGCAGTTAGAGCAGTCTTGTGACTTCTATCAGTGTTCAGCAGATCATGGGTTAAAGCTTGTAGGAGGGGTTTTCATTTTGCTCTAAGAGGATGCAGAACCCCTGACCTCCACCTGGACAGTGCTGATTGGCCCTGTGCTGATCACATGCACAAGAAAAAAAAACCTTTCTAGCAATACACACCAAACAGAGCATGTGCAGTGTGTCTCCACACTGATATGTCTTATCAGCAGATAAGAGGGGGACACTGGAAGAAGGGGAGGATCAGAAAAGTCAGGATGAATCATAGTTTTTACACAATGCAGAGGGTTAACCCCTTAGGTTCCACAGTGAGTATATCTAGCATGCATACTGCATATACAGACTGATTTTACTGTTGTCAGTTTTAGTAACACTTTAAAGAGTAACTCTATGTACATTGCAGGGATTTTAACACACTTGTTGCAGATTCCTTCCTTTTGTTATTCTATAGAAATAGCTGTTTGTTTGTCTGTGTCCATGTGCAGAGTGAATCTGTATGGGAGCGGTTTTGTAATTATCAATCAGCTGCTGCACCTGCAGGGCTCTAATGAGGAAAATTGCAGTGCCTGTATCCCTTTAGACGAGATTGCCGTTTGGGAACATCTCACCAAAAATGACATTTTTGTTGCAGGGGATGCCTGAAATCTGACTTTTACCTTAGTTCAGACTTCTGAGAAAATCAGCTAGCCAAACACACAAGCAGAAAATAATGTTTCTGGGGGGTGTTCTGTACACAGTCTGGGCACAGAACACCTCCAGGTAGCCATATTGCATTGCATTTTCAGAAAATTACAGCATTGCAGATTGAAAAGGAAAGGTAATTTTTAATAACATTCAATTGCAATATGGCTTGTCTTGCCATTAAAAATGTTGTTTTTTTTATTTGCTATTTTTTTCCCCACAAAAGTGGTTGCCCTTTAAAGTAGAACAAATAATTTTCTTTCACTTCCTGTCCAATAACCAAAACAAGAATTGGGAGGATCTTAGTAGTCACCAGAACAAATGTCTCTTTTGGAAATTTTAAATTCTATTCCTGTTCTCAAAATTTTGGGATTTTCTTTTACATTTACTTTGAGTGATAATAATGGTCACCAGGACAAATAAAGAGAGTGCCTTTAATTTCGCCTTAACAGGAACACTGACAGCAAAAAATCCCTGACAGGTCTATCCAAAGCCAGAAAAATGTTTTGCCTTTACTTTTACTTTAACCACTTCAAGTCCGGACACTTTTACCCCCTTCCTGTCCAGGGCAATTTTCAGCTTTCAGTGCTATCACACTTTGAATGATAATTGTGCGGTCATGCAACACTGTACCCATATGAATTGTTTAGCATTTTTTTGAGACAGATAAAGCTTTATTTTGGTGGTATTTATTCACCACTGGGATTTTTATTTTTTTGCTATGTAAATTAAAAAGTCTAAAAAGTTTGAAAAAAAGTGTTTTTCTTATAAAATTTAGCAAATAATCTTTCTTCATAAATCTTGGCCAAAATGTATTCAGTTATCTTTTCTGTAAAAAAAAAATAACCCAAATTAGTTTATACCCAAAAATTAAGATTTTTTTTACATTTTTATTTTTTCATATTATTATTTATGTTTTTTTTTTTTTAACATACTGTCACCCTAGCAGTACAGTGTCCCATAGTGACACTGTACTACTCGTGGGGGGTGATGAAGATTTTTTTTTTTTTTTTTAAACACTGATTGCTTTGACACTCATAAAGGCTGTAAAAGCAATCATTTCTCCTTCTCTCTGGCTGCATTCTTGCAGCCATTGAGAAATACTGTGAGAGCTGTGATTGGTCACAGCTTGTCACATGGTACAAGGCTGTTGTGAATAGCTCTGTACCATATGACCTCTGTGATCATTCACAGATTTCACAAGTAGTAAGCAATGATGTCAGGAGTGACATCTTGCTTACTTCTATTCATGTGATCACTGATTGGCCAATCAGTAATCACATGATCGGGACCTCACACAGAGGTCCTGTATAATGATCGGTGTTTCACTGTATCCTCCGGTGACAGCAGGCACTGGATTGCGATGCTGCATGCTCCCAGGGAGCGTGCACAAGCAGGGAAGTGGAGAGGACATTTATAAACGGCCACCCGCCCCTGCACTGCTCCCTTCTGGCCGTTTATATACATGGGCCGGACGGGAAGTGGTTAAAGAGGACCTAGTGTTAGATATATTTTTAAATATAATTTTAATGCAAATGATTGCAAGTTCTTTGTCTGTTATTGCAATGTAACAGATATTTGTGGTGTAGAAACATTCAGAATTTCAGGATAAGCTTTCTGGGGTGTACCCATGTTCTACGTTCCAAGCAGTACTGCACCAGCTTTTGCACCCTCCAGTTTTAGTAAATCAACCTCAAAGTGTTAGCAGAAAGTTAAGACAATCACTGAGTATTAATGCTGCTTGGACCTTTAAATAAGGAGGATCACCCCGAAAGCTTATCCTGAGAATTTGAACAATAGAGACAGTACTCAGTTGTGTTTGTTCCAAGTGCACTAATACGACTACGATCACCTTCTGCAAATACTAATCATCTGGTTGTTACGTTAACATTTTAAAATGTCCTTGACTGGCTGCCACCATGGGCTTGGTGTCATCTTTTTCAGCAGGTGATTGTCTGTTCAGTAAAAGTGATCCGTGCTGCTCTACATCCGCCCGATCACTTTTACAATAGTGAAATGCCTCTCATTTTAGTGTATTTTAGCAAATTTTCCTGGAAATATGTTTTCAGCTGTGCAAATATTGTTCAAAAAAAAAAATTGCAACTGCCGCCATTTTATTTTACAAGATCTATGCTTACAAAAAATATATAACTGTTTGGCAGTTCTAAGATATTTTCTAGCAAAAAATAAATACATTAGAAATTAGCCCTGGACACAGTTAAACTTGTCACTGGTTAGCGATTCAAAGTATTGAAGCTAGAGAGCCACAATATCAGCCAGGGAACTTGGCTCTTTGTAAAGAGAAACCAGCAATGGTATCCTTTATGTTCATGACCAGCTTCCTTTACAGGTTATCTCCAGCCAACATTTAATGACTATACCTTCATTTACATTCATCCACAGGCTCTCTCCTCCTTGGAATCTGTTACCCTCACCTACCCATTTTTCTTTAGACCTGCTGGATGCAAGTTGGGTAAAGGATGGCCAATGGACACAATGGAAACATTTTACGACAAGCTAAAAGCTGAGGTGACAAACTGTAGTCTACATTTTTCCCTGCATGCTGAAGTAGTAAACGTATGCCATTTACAGTATGTTTTTTGTATTTCTTCCCAGACAGATTCTTGGAGATTGAGTCATGTGAATGCAGGTTTTAAACTTTGTCCTAGTTACCCAGAAAAGGTTATTGTGCCTGTATCCTGTTCAGATGATTCTCTGAGGAAGGCTGCAGCTTTCAGGCAGGGACACAGGTTTCCCATACTTAGTTACCACCACCGGAGAAATAAAGCGGTACGTTAGGCATTATTCTCAACTATATCTGAACTGCAGAAATTCTTTTTTTTTTCCTATATGTTTTCTCTTTTTTATTGTGTATTACATGACTGGAATACTTGATGATTTGAAAAATAATAAAATTCCATCAAGCAGATGCTCATCATAATGCTCTGTGTTATGTAGTACTAGATTTAGATCTAGTTTGTATCATGAAATTAAGTATTTCTTCCAACTGTGCTGGTATTTCTTGGTGCTGAGCTTTATGAACTGAAAATATGTGTAACTGCTGCTCTCTTATCTGTCAAACATTGTTAAGTGTTCTTAACACTAGTGCAACCCCTAACACTGAACCTGCACCTATGTTTGAGTCCTTAACGGTTAACTCCAACATTTACCGGGCACTTTTATCCCCTTCCTGCAGGCCAATTTTCAGCTTTCAGCGCTGTTGCACTTTGAATAACAATTGCTCGGTCATGCAACATTGTATTAATATGTAGTTTTTATAATCATCCTTTGGTGATATTTATTCACCTCTGGGTTTTTTATTTTTTGCTAAACAAACCAAAAACCACTGAACATTTTGAAAAAAGTGATTTTTCTCCTTCACTGATTTGCACTAATGAGGCTGCAGTGATGGGCACTGATGAGAAGGCACTGGTAGGTGGCACTGATAGGCATTGACAGGCATCACTGATGGGCACTGAAAGGCAGCACTCATATATGGCACTGATAGGCAGCACTGACAATCAATGATAGGTGGCACTGACTGGCACTAATGGGCACTGATTGGCAGCACTGACTGGCACTGATAGGTAACACTGAAAGGCAGCTCAGATGGGCACTGATATGTGGCATTAATGTGCACTGGTAGGCACTGATATGTGGAACTGATGGGCACTGACAAGTGGCATTGATGGGCACTGACAGGTGGCACTGATGGGGCTGCCCTGATGATCAGTGTACATGTCCCCTCTATCCCACTGATAGGTTGCACTGATTGGCACTGAAAGGCAGCTCAGATGGGCACTGATATGTGGCATTGATGTGCACTGGTAAGCACTGATATGTGGCATTGATGGGCACTGACAGATGGCACTGATGGGGCCGATGATCAGTGTACATGTCCCCTCTGAGGAATGCCGATTACCGGCTCTCCTCTCCTCAGGAGCTGTCAGCGTGACAGCTCATGAGGAGAGGAATGCCAATAACCGGCATTTCCTTATTTACATGCGATCAGCTGTGATTGGACACAGCTGATCACATGACAGAGGCGACGTCATCGGCTGTTTCCGTTGATCGGTGATCCACTGTGTCCCAGGGACACAGCGCACCAGCACGCGCTGCACTGCTAGTGTGGGAGGACGTCATATGACGTCCTCCCAGAACGAGAGAACCGCTGCCTTTCCGTCATTTCCTTATATAGCGGTTAAAGTAGAACTATAGGCAAAACCTTTTTTTTCTTCATTTTGGATAGAGTAAGAGAGGATTATAACCCCTTTCAGTTTTTTTTCCATCTACAGTATGTCCCATTGGAGAGATTTAACTTCACTTCCTGTGCCATAGCCAAAACAGAAACTGAGAGGAAATCCCTAAAAATTAGGGGAATCCCCTTGAGGCCCTTCATGTCACCAGAACTAGTGACCTCATTGGAGTAGTTCCCCAATATTACTTTTCTGGGAACAATCCAAAATTTTAGATTTTCCTTTACTTTCACTTTTAGGGTTAATGGTAAACAGGACAAATAGAGAGAGTGAATCTCCCTCCCGGGACAAAGACAGCAATACATATCAAGTGTTATAATCCCTTTCAGATCCATCCAAGGCTAGAAAAAAGTTTTGCCTTTAGTTGTATTTTCGCCCTTCAGGCTGAATCCTTCCTTGCAGTGCAGCAGCCTCTTCCCCCCCTCCCTATGCTACAGCAGCCAAATGCCCTTTGACATCATCAAGACCAATGCAGGGTCTGCAGCCTGGCAATAAACATGAGGATGCCAAGTAAAAGTCCACTGCTGGAGCATAGGCGAGCGCCATCTGCCAGGGGAGTGGAGCATCATGTAAATAAACCAGATTTTCCTGTCCCCTAGAACTAAATGAGCATTTAACTCTTGCAGGGGAGGGCCAGCCCCATGCAAGGAAAGATTTAGATTTTTCCTGGAAATGAGCTTTAAAGGAAATCTATGTCAAGAGAAATATGTAGGCTACCACACAGCACAGACCCAGCTGACAGGACAGGAGACCTGATTTTCTCTACTCTGGTGGAGTCCCTCCCATAGCCTGTTAACGTACGGTAAAAGGAGAAGCAGCAGACTGAACTCATCTCTATGTCACTCTGCTCTCTCCTCCTAAAAGCATGCCACTTGCACTAAGGGCTCATGTACACGGGGCATTTGGAAAACTCTTCTGAACGATGGAAACTGACTGCTGGAAAACGTAGGTTAAAAAACATCCGTTTAGGCGCATTTGCATACCGTGTTTAGAAGCATTTAGAAGCGTTTGCGTTTAGAAGTATTTTTAACAGATAACCTCAGGAGACCCTCCCAAATGCCCTGAATGCACTGAAAAATAGTAAATAATTAACTATTTCAGACATTTTGAGAGGAATAGAAATAGCAGAAGCAGAGAGAGCAGTATGTGTTGAGATTACCTGTCATTTCTGGTTGTATTCACTATGGATCCCATCATGGGCATATTGCAGCACGTTCTACCATTTTTTCCTTTACGCAAAACCTGGAACTGACTGCGCTGGTGTGCTAGGTCCATTTGAGTACATGGAAAACACTTTGCATGCATTTCTGATGATGAAAAAAGGCTCTGGACAGCATCTGGATATGGAACTGTTAAAAACACACTTCTAAAAGCAAACGCTTATAAACGCGGTTAACCACGTTTACAAGTGTTTGGCATTTGAAACGCCGGTAAAATCTACTCCTGAATGCAAGTTTGGTGCATTCAAAAAAAAACGACTGTAAACTCAACTGCCTGTAAACGAAGATGTGTACATGGACACATAGGAAAACATTAGGGAGAGTTCAGGGGCTGCTGAAAAAGCAGCTGAACAGCTCCTAAATGTCAGTTTAGCAGATGCATTGTATATTAGCCCTTAAGCACAATGGGTCGGCTCATTGTGCCTTTTCTCCTGTCCACAGTTTGAGCTCCGGGGGGGGGGGGGGGGGGGGGGGAACTGAAAGAGGCTGATCTCATGTCATATTCAGGCATTTGCACTGCTCGCATTTGCAAATATACATATAAGCTAATGATGTATTAATTAATACAGTGCTGCATTATTTTGTGACACATATCTGCCTGAAGCAGGGGCGAACTGACAACTCATGGGGCCCCCGGGCAATAGAAGATCATGGGGCCCCTGTGTCCTTGCCCAAACTCAAAAAAGCCTATGAAAAAGGTACCAGGGGCATCTCATGGGGCCCCCTACTGGCCCTGGGCCCTCGGGCAGTGCCCCAGTTTCCAAATGGTCAGTCCGCCCTTGGCCTGAAGTTAAGGCTACTGTTATATTTTATGATATGCACTTTATTCTGGCTAAAAACAGTGGAATTGAACCAGAAGGATTTGTATATCAAGGTGGGTTGCCTCCAAATTTAGTGTATAATGGAAAACTTTTGCTGAGAGTAATATAGAGACGGGCCATTGCTGACATTCCTGAACATGCTAGTTACAGTATCTCGACATCATGTTGAGCAATATATTTTTTCTGCACTCTGTCCAGTTACATGACATCCTTTTAGCGAACTGGTGCATAAAAATCAATTGCATTTTGAAGATGAGGTCAAGTACATCGTACTACCGTATATGAGCATAACATCTCTACTGTTCTTTTTGTATCTTCTTTATTTTTTCCTTATGTTTTAGGTTATGTTACGCTCTGCTCAGCCACTGGTTGGTCCAACACACCGTAGGTGTGAAGAAGATGAGATGCTGCTGAATGTTACACTAGAAGGGCAATTATGTGGGTTTATCATTGACATTCGCAGTGAGCACGATGCCAGACAAGCAAGAAGCATGGGAGGTGGAACTGAGAACAAGGATAGGTACCCTAACTGGAAGATGCTCTACCACCCATTGGAAAGGTGAGTTCAAGGGTGTCCAGATACCTACCCACAAAGACAGGCAAGTAGACACCTGCCTACTGACCGCAGTATCAGAACCCAACATTGTTTCTAGTGTAAATACCCTTATGGACTATTATGACCTATATGCACCCCACTAAGAGGAGGGAAGGACTGGCCAGGTCGCATGGAGCTCTAGAGAATCTCCTTGGACAGTAATAAGCACTTCCAATAAATGGAAGCGTTTGTATTTTCCCCTCAAGGTAGCCTAAACAGCCTGATCTTTTTGACCATTGACCTCCCTAGCAAAAATAATTGTTCTTTTACTGAGGATCCTGCATCTGAAACTAATACATTTTTGCACCTTCAGGGGACGTGTTCTGCAGACTAGCCTGACACGACTTGTTGCTGCTTGTAATGAATCTTGTCTGGGGATAAACCGCTGGCTCTCTAGGTTACTGACTTCACGCTGGATGACCCATGTCAGAGAGGCTCTGAGCACTGCAGGTCTGGCTGCTGAAGGTATAGAGAGGTGAGGTGGTTGGTGCATAGAAGTGTAAAAAGATAGATAAGGGATGAACATGGAATAGCTATGAATGAAAGAAGTAAAATTCAGGAACAGAAATGAGCAATAAATGATCAAAACTTTACACTACTATGCTTGAAAAGTATATATACAATGACATTTTGCTTGTACAGTCATCATAGCAAAAGACCACAATCCATGCTTTAAATTGTTTTCTTTTATAGTTTTGCTGTATGGACTGGGTGTTTTACTATATATGAGTGTTTCTTGTTTTTTTTTTTTTATAGTATACCCATTTGTAAACCTTAAGAACCTAAAGTGTGCAGTTTCTAGCTAAGACCCTGTAAACTGGCAGTCATAGTTTTCTAAAAATCATGCTATGCATCTGAATATTTACAGTACAAAAATCCAATCGTTGCTATTATTATTTATAAAAAAAATACACTGTCATATTGGGTTTGATTTGGTAAGCAGAGATACTCCCTAAGATGAAAAATACACAAATGCAGTAGAAGACATTATCATAGAGTTCTATATGCAAAGCATATCTACTGAACAGTATATCCCCTACATCACAAAATCTGTGGACACCATAAAATACATTATGTCATGGATTGCATTTGGGCTGCTAAGGCCAACAGATTGGATGTTTTCCTTCCTACAATGATTCAATAGTTTACCTTTTAAAATATCTTTGAATGTCAAATAGTAACTATTTTAAATAAATTATGATAATTAGGGGAAACAGCAACAGAGGGCATCAAATAGCGACAAAGGTCGTTGTTTCAGATATAGTAAATTTTTTAAAACAAAAGTTTATATATCTATACAGTTGTAGAAAGTTGTGAAAGGGAATCTAATATTTAATTTAGCCGATCAATATGGTTAGCCATTGCTTCTTCTTCTAAGAATTACATATTTTTCTACAGAGTGGGTACCTGTGTACTTGTTCATGGTGAGGAAGGTACTGACAATACCCTGATGGTGACTTCACTTGCTCAACTGATTCTGTCCCCTGACTGTCGAACCTTGGCTGGTTTCCAAGACCTTATTGAACGTGAATGGTTACAGGTAATATAGGTTGTATTCTCCCATATTATATACCCATTAGGGTGGAATTCCATCCAAACTTCTGGTTTTGGAGAGAATGGGGTAGAATTAGATACTCTATTAATTTTTTTTTTATTGTTGTCTGTGTCTATTGAGTAGATTTTCCCTCATAGTCTGCCCTTCGACACCCAGAGAAAATTCGATTTTTTTTTATAGACTGTAAAATCCTTTTCCTGGGATACATTACAGGACACTGGGTACCTTCATATCCATTACGAGAGGGTCATGCTGCTATCTTCAGGTGATTGGACTAAAAAAAAGGAAATCTCTTCACAGGCATACCTCCTCCCACCCAGACATAGTTTCAGTTTTTCAGCAAGCTATGAACAACAAAAGAAAAGGGGTACATTCCAGGAGGGTATCTTCATATTGATTGCGACACGGTTGTCCTAAAGCACTGTATATGAGCAGAAGGAAA